TCCAGATCATAATCATTCCAAAAAAAAAAAAAAAAAAAACATTGGACTTTGTTTTTCAAGTTTGAAGACTTCCCATTCAGGACGTTTTTCAATTCAAAATTACAGTAGCCCAACAAATCCTTGTTTTGGCTAAGAAAATATGCAAATTGAACCTGATGCCTGATCCCAATAGCTTGACTCTGAACCGAATTTGATCCCTATTACTTTTTGGCCACATGCACATTATTGTGCTGCCTGGTCAACCCTATGAAAATGTTCTGGAACTGCCACTGAACTGACACCCAATGCATGGAGGGTAACCCAAAAAGGGCCATTGTTAGAGAAAGTGGGTGCCTACAAAGTGCTGTTTTCAAGCTAATTAATGGAAAGTTAGGTGGAATGAAAAGTAGACAAATAACAATTACAATTCCTTTAGGGAAAGGGGAAGGAAAATCATTTATTAAGAGGAAAGAAATTGAAAAATGGCAAAAAAAAAAAGGTGGAATGAAGATAAAAAGGAAGAAGGTTATATAAAGTACAAAAGTCAGTATTAAATAGAAATATTAATGAGAGAAAACAAATGGAAGAAATAATAATGATCAGATTAAGAGTAGGTCATACTTATTTAAATGACAATTTATACTTAATAGGGAGGAAAAATAATGATAAATGTGAAGGATGTGGAGAGATAGAAAATGTAGACGTATTGATGAACTGTAAAACATATGAACCTGAAAGGAAAAAATTGAAAAGAGGACAGGCCAAGAATGGAGTCTTATAGGATTATTGGGAAATAAAGGAAATATAAAAGATATTTATAGATTAAGGAAAGCATTATTTATTTATCTTCAGAATACAAAATTAAAAAATAGAATTTAATAGATGTAAAACAATGTTGCTACACACTCATGAACAGTAGGTGGCGGTATGCCCGCCCCTTCCCTAGAGCCCGGTGGGATAGAAAACATTTTGAATGGAAATCAGTGGGGAGAAATTAATAAACTTCTGGTCCCAGTCGCTCTCTGTCACTGATTCCAGATATGCTGGTTGTGTATTCAAATTGTTTTTTGTTTTTTTTAGTTCCTCTTTGGTCAAAATCTGGTCAAAACCCATCAATGAGATCGCACCAAACAGGAAGTGAAATGCACAAAGGATCCGGTAGATTTCCAAATAAAACACATCCGATCTTAACCCATGATCCTTTTTTAAACTAGTTTAGTTTCTCCCGTATGCCACGACGTAATGCATTGATCTGAAAATCAACCTCAGACGCAACGCACGCAGTGGCGAGGGTTTGATCCGTCAGATGGAGTTAAATCACAAAGGATTCAATGTTGAATCGGGGCGGCAGCTAAATGCTAGTCGATGGGTAGCAGCCAAAACGTTGCAATTTCACATAATCCTGACGAGATCCGAAAAACGTAGCAAAAACTAGCAAGCTGGTGATTATGTATGCTCTCTGTCATTGATTCCAGATATGCTGGTTGTGTATTTAAATTGTTTTTTATTTTTTTTTTAGTTCCTCTTTGGTCAAAATCTGGTCAAAACCCATCAATGAGATCGCACCAAACAGGAAGTGAAATGCACAAAGGATCCGGTAGATTTCCAAATAAAACACATCCGATCTTAACCCATGATCCTTTTTTTAACTAGTTTAATTAGTTTCTCCCGTATGCCACGACGTAATGCATTGATCTGAAAATCAACCTCAGACGCAACGCCGCAGTGGCGAGGGTTTGATCCGTCAGATGGAGTTAAATCACAAAGAATTCAATGTTGAATCGGGGCGGCAGCTAAATGCTAGGCGATGGGTAGCAGCCAAAACGTTGCAATTTCACATAATCCTGACGAGATCCGAAAAAAACGTAGCAAAAACTAGCAAGCGGGTGATTATGTATGTTCACTAAGTAAATATTATGTAAATAAACCCTACACTTCTCGCTATAAATGTGATCAAAACCCATTTAAATGCAGAAACTGATTGAAATTATTGATTTTCCCACTAAAAGTTAGAGAAATCTCAGCCATGTTTATACCAAAATGTTACAGTTTCACATTATCTTGAAAAATCTTTGCAAGAAACGAACAAGCAAGTGAATATGTACATTCCCTGAGTAAATATTCTGGCAACAAACTATACATTTCTCACTAGAAATGTAATCAAAACTCATTTTAATGCAAAAACAAACTCAAGTCATTAATCTTTCCACAAAAAAATGAGCGAATGTCAGCCATCTATATATATTTTTTTCTTCTCCCAGCTGGAATCTTGAAAGTCACGTGACTAGGACGTAAAACAATAGAAAGCGTATAGGTAGAAGAAACGTAACAGTACCACAAAAAAATGGCCATTAATGTACCTCCACTACGTTTTGCAGTGTGGACCAACGTAGTGGGGGTACATATATATTAGGGGTGGAACGGTTCACAAAATTCACGGTTCGGTTCGATTCACGGTTTCTGGTCACGGTTTTCGGTTCGGTTCGATACATGTTGATTGTTACACCGAAATCCCATAAAAATGTATGGAATTAATGAAAAATCCCCCCAAAAATAATGGATTGTAATTATTTTTAATGATCCGCGGAAACCCTGGATCATTTCCGTATGTTTTGCTGCTTTGAATTTAATCATCTCGCGCATGCTCTCTACCATCTCCAAGGAACTCAGAGGGGAGCGGACAGAGGGAGCCACAGTGGAGGCTGCAGGCTTTGCTTTAAGCAGCCGGTCTGGAGCGCAGCGGGGCGGAGCGCTGACGGAGTATGAGGGATTTCGGGGTTAGCATGACATGTTGCTGTTAGCATAAACAAAACGTGTTGCACAATGCATGCACTCTGTTGCACTTTTATCCACAACTTTCTTTCCGCCGTCATCGTAGGTCACTCTAAATGCAAAGCGCTCCCATACAGCTGACCTATAAAGTGCTGCTGGCGCGTCTTCCAACTCCTGTTCTTTCTCACTCGCCAGTCCGACACAATTCTCCACAACGACTGATTTTTTTTCCCTGCTACACCCGGCTAAGCTGCTTCGCTTCTTCTTCTTCTTGTTTACTACTGGTGGTTGGCTTTGGTCGCAGCACCGCCACCTTCTGCTCTGGAGTGTAAACGCTTCGCCTATGAGAAAAAGGAGCAGCGCATGAACCAAACGAAACACATGCGAACCGAACCGAGACAGTCAAACCGAACGGTTCGGGCGGTTTTCATAAATCGTCCCATCCCTTATACACTATATTGCCAAAAGTATTTGCTCACCTGCCTTGACTCACATATGAGCTTAAGTGACATCCCGTTCCTAATCCATAGGGTTCAATATGACGTCGGTCCACCCTTTGCAGCTAGAACAGCTTCAACTCTTCTGGGAAGGCTGTCCACAAGGTTTAGGAGTGTGTTTATGGGAATTTTTGACCATTCTTCCAGAAGCGCATTTGTGAGGTCGCACACTGATGTTGGACGAGAAGGCCTGGCTCTCAGTCTCCGCTCTAATTCATCCCAAAGGTGTTCTATCGGGTTGAGGTCAGGACTCTGTGCAGGCCAGTCAAGTTCATCCACACCAGACTCTGTCATCCATGTCTTTATGGACCTTGCTTTGTGCACTGGTGCACAGTCATGTTGGAAGAGGAAGGGGCCAGCTCCAAACTGTTCCCACAAAGTTGGGAGCATGGAATTGTCCAAAATGTCTTGGTATGCTGAAGCATTCAGAGTTCCTTTCACTGGAACTAAGGGGCCAAGCCCAGCTCCTGAAAAACAACCCCACACCATAATCCCCCCTCCACCAAACTTTACACTTGGCACAATGCAGTCAGACAAGTACCGTTCTCCTGGCAACCGCCAAACCCAGACCCGTCCATCAGATTGCCAGATGGAGAAGCGCGATTCGTCACTCCAGAGAACGCGTCTCCACTGCTCTAGAGTCCAGTGGCGGCGTGCTTTACACCACCGCATCCGACGCTTTGCATTGCACTTGGTGATGTATGGCTTGGATGCAGCTGCTCGCCCATGGAAACCCATTCCATGAAGCTCTCTGCGCACTGTTCTTGAGCTACATGAAGTTTGGAGGTCTGTAGTGATTGACTCTGCAGAAAGTTGGCGACCTCTTCGCACTATGCGCTTCAGCATCCGCTGACCCCGCTCCGTCAGTTTACGTGGCCTACCACTTCGTGGCTGAGTTGCTGTCGTTCCCAAACACTTCCATTTTCTTATAATACAGCTGACAGTTGACTGTGGAATATTTAGGAGCGAGGAAATTTCACGACTGGATTTGTTGCACAGGTGGCATCCTATCACAGTTCCACGCTGGAATTCACTGAGCTCCTGAGAGCGACCCATTCTTTCACAAATGTTTGTAAAAACAGTCTGCATGCCTAGGTGCTTGAATTTATACACCTGTGGCCATGGAAGTGATTGGAACACCTGATTCCAATAATTTGGATGGGTGAGCAAATACTTTTGGCAATATAGTGTATATATATATATTTTTTTTTTTTTTTTTTAATTTGTGTAATTTATCTGGGTTTTTTTTTGTGATTTTCACGTTTTTTCAAAACCAGTCATTGATTGATTTCATCATTCATTCATCATCCCAGCAAATAAAGCTAAGATGCTCCCTTGCTGCCCATAGAGATCAACAAAATGCGTCAGACAAGCTTGCACACATTTCAAAGTGCACTAGAGTCCAAGATGACACACTGGTGTGAACGCACCATTACTCCTTTTTTCAATACCAGGACTGGAAAAGCAATAATGGAAACGTTTGGAATAAAGCCGAGCTAAGAGGAGCCGGTGGGAAAGAGGCATTAATGTTTGTTAATTAAGGTTATGTTGAAGCAGGGATACACCTAAAAAAATTTAAATAAACAATTCAAGACATAGCATCTCATCACTATGAATCTGTCTATATTTTTGCTCCATTTAGTTACTACAGTACATCTAACATTTAGTCCAAATCCTTGGCTTTCTTTGGTAGCAGATAAACCAGCTGACAAGTTCTGGACTGAAGGAACCGGGCTCTGCTCCGTATCTCACCTCGTCGGTTGTCAAGCCGAAATCGTTGGGGACAACCTGCCTGTAGCGAAACCTGCATGGAAGGTCGTCGATGATGTCCTCATAGTCCAGCTTGTAGTATTCATCCAAGTATTGCTCAAAGGTTTTCTCCTCTGAAACGACAAGAACAGCTTCTAGTCTGGAGACGGAACCGCCTGAGGACCAGTCGGGTTCAGGACGGCTGGTGATACCTACCGGGATCAAACACAGGCTTAGCTTTAGTGATGACCTCCGCAAAGTGAGACTTCTTTTTCTTTTTGCCCATCTGTGGCATATCATCCTTTTTCAACTTCTTCTTCTTCTTCTTCTTGGAGGCAGCATGCTGGTTCGGGTCATAGTCTGCATCCATCTGCAGAAATCAGGTAATTGTTAAGGCTGATTCCTGCGTTTCAATAAAACTCATTGGGAGGAAAAGAAAAAGAGTTAGCTCACAATGAAACCTTCATCCTCGCAGTGAGGTCCAGAGACGCTGTACTCCTCTTCATCGTATTCCTCCTGCTGTTCTTCTCCGGTCCAAGTGTCCCAATTCCAGGGCTCTGAAAATGCAAAAGTGCTTCAAAAATACAGACGAAGCAGCAGATTGACTACAGTTAAATAAAATTTCAAAAACAAAGCAGCAGCTCACCGTCCAGCTCATCAACACCATCGTCATCCAACTGAGGCTTGTCCTCCTCCTCTTCACCGTAGTATTCATCGCCAAAGAACTTCTGCAGAAAAAATGTTTCAGATGTTTTAAAAAGCTTCATGTTTAAGATTTACATGATTATAATTTGTTAGATTTTTGCATTTCACTCAATGTAGCGTATTCACATTATGCATTTTTTTTTTTTACATTTATAAACCAGTAGCTAACTCCATGTTGCAGAAAAAGTTTTTCTTAAAAGATTACTTTGACCTGTTGGCATATCATTTGTTTTTTTAGTTGTTTACTTTGTAGTAAATAATACTCTTCTGTGCATTTTTTACAATGAATAGAGGTAAAATTCTGCGCATGGGTGCAGAGGAAAAACAAGGAAGTGTTACTGTGGATAATGTGTAGAATTCAAATTCAATCTTTTCCATCAACAAAAGCAGAAATTGCAATCTGGCTTTTCTGGTAGTTCTGCAAAACTGCCAGCAGATGGCGCCACGCCTGTTGGTCCACTATTATGTTCCTAAATTCCCTGTCACACCTTGACCATTTAGCCAGCGTATGCCTGACGTATAAGTTATGGATAAGTTACGGGTCAGTTTTGTATAAGATATAATCACGCTGAAGCACACTGGCACACGTCGTCATACGGCAAGTGCGTATGCTCGTGCGTGGGGCATAAGTTACAGGTAAGTTATTTGATTGTTGACATGTGTTAAAGTCGTAGGGAAATGGCTGTTTTCCCGAGTGGTGCCCGACTTTACACGAGTGAATAAAGTGAACGTGATTGGTCGTTTATCAAGAGAGGTTCGCAAGCAGAGGAAACATTCAAGAGGAGGAGAGTTTGTGTCGGGGGCAGGCTAAAGCAGGGTTTCTTAAAGTCGTAGGGAAGCGGCTGTTCCAACTGTTGGATTTCCGAATTCTCCCGAGTGGTGCACGACTTTACATGAGTGAATAAAGTGAATGTGATCGGTTGTTTATCAAGAGGGCGGGATTGTTGTGGCGGAAGGTTCGCAAGCACGTTTGGTTGTGGCCGGTTTCTGTGAAGCATCTTGCTAACCAGTTAGCCACTTAGTGCTAGTAGGTTCCCAATGGGAAATTCCATTGGGACCAAGTAGCACTAAATAGCTTGGTTTCACGTGACGTCACAGTGCTGCTTCGCCACGCCGTGAAACTCAGATGGAGGGCAGGAAGTGAAGTAGATGAGGATCTGCCGTCTGAAATAATGCCTATGTTTTGTGTAGTTTACTGCTGCTCCAATCGTTCGAACCGAGAAAAGGAAAAGAGCTTTTACAGAGTACCAAAGGTTGTCATTCATAAAGGTGAAAAGTGTAAAAAGCTCACAGAACAACGCTGTAAAAAATAGATTTTAAACCTACGTCCGCGGTCTGGAGGAGCAGAGTCTGCCAATGCCTGTGTCTGCAGCAACCACTTCGTTGGAGGTAAGCTATAACGTTATGTTAGCTAGCTAACTTTTTTTTGTGGTTGTGTTTATATAGTATAAGGTTGTCCTTAAATGCTCATTTACTTAGTAATGATTAATAAGTTACTGGTAGTCTAATATGGACTTCATTGTGACTGTTTAGGCTGTCCTAGCGCTTTGGGTGACGTTGAGTCGGTAGACTGGGCTCCGACGGTCAACCTCGGTTACCAAAAAACTAAGCCCAAATCAGAAGGTCTGGGCCTGGCAATTAATTAAAACTTTTATTTTTTGGAATGTTGGCGAAGCGGTAGCATGAGTTTGGCGAGGCGGCCGCCTCGCCAAGATAGTGCTGCGGGAAACACTGATGTATATCCCTTAACGTTACAGCTCTCCCTGGTTCTGAAGTACACTGGCAGTATGCTAGTAGTAGTGTGTGTGTGTGTGAGAAAGAGAGAGATCTCGTGGTAAACATCCTAGCCTTACTTACCCTGCCATGCAATTGCAATGAGCTGCAATGACATCTCCATCCTTCTAATACGAAGTCTGAAGGACCAGATAGTTCGTTATGTCACCGGCCTCCACTGTCGGCAAATCTTTAAGGTCCACCGAAAACTCCCGCATCTTCATGAGGTACGGGTCACGTCCAACATATCTGTCAGTCAACCCCTTGTATCTATGTCTTGTAACAGGCTCTAACTCCATACAATACGGGCTCTCGGTAACGGTGTCCTCCATGTTTACGCTAACTTCATAGACTTCCTGCCCTCCATCTGAAATCGCGCCCCCTGACCGTGTCATAATCATCACGTGACTGAAATCCGCCTATTGGTGACTTAGAAACGACACTGTCAAGGAACGCTATGGACAGAGGAAACATGCAAGAGGAGAATTTAGTGTCGGAGGTCGTGGATGAGTCGTGGATGAGTCTCCTCCGTCATCCATTTTTTATTTAGAGGAGGAAAGTGGGGATGAAGATGTAGTGGAAGAGGACGCCAGGGCGGCAGAAGCTTGGTTTGGTGTAGAAGGCTTCCAGTCGTACATGTTTGAGTCCTTGCCTCGCAACGCTGCCAGTTCTGTTAGCTCTACGCCTGCTGAAGACACAGACGTCCATCCCCGTGAACACTGGGACGGAACTCAATGGGAAAGGAAATTATTCTGATTTCTTATTTCAACCATTGCGTATATTAGCTATAATTATGAATCAAGATGCTATGACTGAAAAAATTTGATTGACAGATGACCTTTGATATATGATTGGTCAAATGTAGGTGTTCAAGCTGACGTATAACTAACTGGCCTGCATAAGATAACGGAAAAAACCCCCCACAGATTTTAAGATGGGATTTTTTTTTTTTATATACATTTTCTAACCTTTGGGACAATATAGTCTGATAAAAAGTACATTTATATACATGTTTAAGCCTGAATGATTAGACATTTAAATATGATTTCCCTATGACTTTAAGTATTCTTTATAAAACAATAATAGAGGAATTTTTGGGAGACTGATAATAAGGGAGGATGACGGGAAACAGGGTTAAAATACTGTAGTTTCCTGGTTAAAACGGGAGACTAGACAGCCATGACTGTAGATGCTCAGTTTGAGCTCAGGTGTAGAAGTAAAGGGTTGTTTGTGCGTTCAGTGTTATCTCCTGACCTGCATGAGCTGGTCGTGCTGTTTTGGGTCAAACTCCCCTTCGAGGTCAGCCTGACTGAAAGCCAGCTGCTCGTTCCCTGTCAGCTCCTGGAGCTTCTTCAGCTTCTCCATGATCTCGTTCCTCTTCAGGTTCTTCAGCTGCTTCAGCTGCTCCCGTTTCTGCTCTTTCTCCTGAAATCAGTCGCCACAGGAGAGGTTTGTGAACTGAAATTTGGGGGGGGGGGGCTTCTGTGAATGAAGCGTTTGTATAAACACACCTTTTGCTTCCTTTCCTTCACTTCCTCCCTCTTGCGTTTCCTGCGGTCATCCTTGGTGCGGACTGACGTGGCGACGTTTCGGGGGTAAGTCTTTATCTGCGTGGAGCCGGGTTCCTCAAAGCGGAAGTTGTAGCTCCTCTCAAAGTCCTCCTGACGCTCCAGGAAACTCTCGCCCTCCTCTTCAGAATCCTCCACATCGTCCTGGACCACCTCGTCGTACGTTGGGATCCTGAGCAGGTGAGAGAATTCCAAATTTAAGAATATATATATTTTTTTAATGGATTTTTATATCATTTAGAAAAATCGAATCTGTGCAGCGCACCGTTCATCATCGTCCTCTTCCTCATCCAGGTAGCCTTTATTAAGCACATAATCTCTAAGGAATCGCTCCTTCTCGTCCAGCTCCGGGTCATTCCAGTAATCCCGCAAGTATTTCTATTAAAACATGAAGGAATTTTTAAATCCAGGTCCTCCTAACAGAAATCACCTTCCTTCATGCCTTCTAGTCCGTTCTTGTGACCTCACCATGTCCTTCACCTCCTCCGGACCCTCCAGCTCCGCTTGGCCTTTGAGCCACTCCAAATAATCTGCCTCTTCTTTGTCCTAAAACACAGGAAATCTGGTTTCTGTAATCCAGCGACAAAAGGTGAGCCCTGCTGATAGCAGGGAGAGCTTTCTGACCTTCTCTGCTTGCGTTTTGATCCTCCTGGTGAGCAGCTCGGACGCTCCTCCTTCCTCGCCACCCTCATCATCGCTGTCCTGAACCAGCTTCCGGAAGCTGCAGGGTGTTTGGATTTTGTTAAACGGCATCCGAGTGCGGGCCCATAAAAGCTAAAAGGACGTCTGATCTCACCTCTCTTTGATCTCCTTCTGCTCCTGGATGTAGCTTGGCGAGGCTGCCCTCTGTTCCACAGGAAGAAGATGATGTTTAATCCGATTTATCTTTTTAATAAAAATAAAAAATAAAAATCATTCATTCAAGCAGAAAAGCGACTCACCTCTCTTCGTTTGGCTGCTTCCTCATCGTCGCTGTCCTCATCATCTTCATATTTGCTGCACAGAAAGAAAATATATACACTATATTGCCAAAAGTATTTGCTCACCTGCCTTGACTCACATATGAGCTTAAGTGACATCCCGTTCCTAATCCATAGGGTTCAATATGACGTCGGTCCACCCTTTGCAGCTAGAACAGCTTCAACTCTTCTGGGAAGGCTGTCCACAAGGTTTAGGAGTGTGTTTATGGGAATTTTTGACCATTCTTCCAGAAGCGCATTTGTGAGGTCGCACACTGATGTTGGACGAGAAGGCCTGGCTCTCAGTCTCCGCTCTAATTCATCCCAAAGGTGTTCTATCGGGTTGAGGTCAGGACTCTGTGCAGGCCAGTCAAGTTCATCCACACCAGACTCTGTCATCCATGTCTTTATGGACCTTGCTTTGTGCACTGGTGCACAGTCATGTTGGAAGAGGAAGGGGCCAGCTCCAAACTGTTCCCACAAAGTTGGGAGCATGGAATTGTCCAAAATGTCTTGGTATGCTGAAGCATTCAGAGTTCCTTTCACTGGAACTAAGGGGCCAAGCCCAGCTCCTGAAAAACAACCCCACACCATAATCCCCCCTCCACCAAACTTTACACTTGGCACAATGCAGTCAGACAAGTACCGTTCTCCTGGCAACCGCCAAACCCAGACCCGTCCATCAGATTGCCAGATGGAGAAGCGCGATTCGTCACTCCAGAGAACGCGTCTCCACTGCTCTAGAGTCCAGTGGCGGCGTGCTTTACACCACCGCATCCGACGCTTTGCATTGCACTTGGTGATGTATGGCTTGGATGCAGCTGCTCGACCATGGAAACCCATTCCATGAAGCTCTCTGCGCACTGTTCTTGAGCTAATCTGAAGGCCACATGAAGTTTGGAGGTCTGTAGTGATTGACTCTGCAGAAAGTTGGCGACCTCTTCGCACTATGCGCGTCAGCATCCGCTGACCCCGCTCCGTCAGTTTACGTGGCCTACCACTTCGTGGCTGAGTTGCTGTCGTTCCCAAACACTTCCATTTTCTTATAATACAGCTGACAGTTGACTGTGGAATATTTAGGAGCGAGGAAATTTCACGACTGGATTTGTTGCACAGGTGGCATCCTATCACAGTTCCACGCTGGAATTCACTGAGCTCCTGAGAGCGACCCATTCTTTCACAAATGTTTGTAAAAACAGTCTGCATGCCTAGGTGCTTGAATTTATACACCTGTGGCCATGGAAGTGATTGGAACACCTGATTCCAATAATTTGGATGGGTGAGCAAATACTTTTGGCAATATAGTGTATATAACAGTTTGAACAAAGGAAGATTTTATATTTTAATTTTCCTCAAATCTTGAGTTCTATCTCTAAACAGTCAACATTTCTCTGATTCAATCATTTTATGATCTGAGATATATGGATATGCCCCTGAAAACTGGACTATGAGACCCCTTCTCTAAAAATGGCATTATTCTGCAGCATTTAGATAAAATAAAAAGCAGGATGCTCGATGTTCCTGTAACAATCATTAAATTTATTAAACATGTAATGCCCCATAAGATTTGCTGATTTTTCATCACACCAGGGGACGCAAGTCTGGGTGACACAACCCCTCCCGCTCCGTCATTTCCGCTCACCCTCCCCCATCAAAACATTGAAAAAATGGCTCTCCACAGCTCCACTTTCGGCGAAAAAGTTGAAAAAGTAACTTTTGATCAAAAGTTTTTCTCTTCTACATGATGACAAAGTTCACTTTAATTGTATAACTCAGGAGCACTTGCTGTATTTTGCCTTGTTTTTTATGCACTTTAATGTGCTGTATGGAAAATAGGATTCTTTATGAAATACTTTATAATTCTGAAATTGAGAGGTCCTATTTTATTTTTTTACTTGAAAAAGCTAATGGAGCACTTTTATTTATAACCATTAATATTTTGTTAGTACTTAGAGTGCAGTATTGCATCATGCAGTAAAAGGAATGAGTAAATGTGTTTTTTTTTTTTTACCTCAATAAATTTAAGGTCATTCCTATATTATTTGTGTACATTTTTAATCATTAACATTAAAATCACTTTCTTTTTACGACTGAAATAACAGTAAAGAGTAAAAAACACTGAATTTGCAAAAATTCAAACGGAAAAAACTGAATTTGGGAAAAAATAAAACGGAATTTGGGAAAAAATAAAACGTATTTTATAGCGCCCTACTTCTACCTCTGCTGTCGAGACGTTTTATGATCCATTTTGTATAAAAAAAAACTTCACTCAGTCTGCAGCGAGAGATCTTTGACTCTCTCGCTGCACCATCTGTCCAGATCATCCAGGGTCCAAGTTGATCTCTTCATTTCACCTCTTTCCACAGTCTTTCTAAAACACTGTTTATGGTGTAAGGAAGGTGGTGGATTATGGGTCTGAAAAAACATTACTTGGTGATTTGGTAAACTATTTCAGGCCAAAATCTTATAAGCTGCAGAAATGTTTATATTTCAATTTATCACTTAAAAACATATTAAAACTGATCACAGCAAATATAGATGCGCCGCTCTCTGCCATTGAACACAGAAGCAACAGAAACATTAGTTGCATCTGGGGACACTGGACGACCTTCATGAGCATCACAGAGCATCTAACCGTTATGTGGAAAAGCATAAAAAATGAATGAGTATGTGAGCGGAGCGGCAGAAAAGTGCAATAATTTATCAGCCAGTTAAATAAGACAGTACACATTTATCGGTCACATCAATAAATCAAACGCCGTGTGTCACAGGGCCTTGGCATAATTACATGAGGGAAAAATGTCAGAAAATGTCTTCTCCTAAAAAATTAGCGTGGAGTGATTTCGCCGGAGCGGCAGCAAGATTAAGGTGAACGCGGAGCAGATTTTGATTTTGAGCGGCACATCGTGGCGGAACTTTGAGCGGTGGAGCCAATGAGCGAACATCCTCCTGAGTAGGGCTGCAACAACGAATCGATAAAAATCGACTTTTAAAAGCGTTGGCAACGAATTTCATCATCGATTAGTTGTGTCGCGCGATTAATGCGTCATCCGCCGCGCCGTCATCACTGCCTCTTGACTGAAAGAGGAAGAAAAAAAAATATGGCAGAGCGAGCCTGCGCCGCAGGTGCAGTGTTGCCAACTCAGCGACTTTTCAGACCCCTCCAGCTACTATTTTTCAAAAAAGCGACTAGCGACAAATCTGGCGACTTTTTTCGGTGTCACTGGCGGCTTTTGGAGACTCTTACGTGAAAGCATGCATCGTTCCTACTCTGCCGTCGGGCGCCTCCCCCATCCCAACCGCGTTTTCCCGCAGGAGTCCCTCTCAGCGCTGCAGTCAGAGCCTCAGCGTCCAGACTGCAAATGAAGCGTGCATGCAACGGGATTGACGGTGCAAATTGATCACAATAATTAAAATAGCCTGCGCTTTGTAAAGCGAAAAAAATGATAACATGCAACTTTTGTCAAAACAAATTAACATGACACGGAAGCACCATGTTTGTTCGGTTTTAAAGTGGGGAAACGTAACGTTAGTTTCTCAGGTAGCTCATCTGATGCTTTCCTTACCGTGTTAGTAGGTTACAGACAGTGATAAGGTTGGCTACTTATTTTACTTTTAATTTCATTTGAATTAGCTTAAGCAGCGTTTACATATACTTTATAAATAAATTAACTTGCAAATTATGAGGGCAAGGCTTTTAAAGTTTAAATCTTCTGGCAAAGATAAAGTAAAGAAGATCCTGCAATTTATAGAAGTAAAGCAGAATAAAATCCAGCAAGATCAGTAATATGTCAATTAATTATCTGCCACATTCCCATGTAAATATCTGTCTTTGGAGGATGTGTTTTTTAGCACCCCTAGTTCTCTCATTTTGATTCCAAATACAATTTATAATTTGAATCACAGGGCTATTTTTATCTCTATGGTTCAGTATTTTCTCAAGTAGCAACTTTAACTGCTATACTTTCCTGTCTTAAAAGGCAGAACTCTTCTAGTCTAAAAAAAACTCATTTGTTGAAATGGGGGGACCTATTGTTTGAACCCCTTAGGGGCTTTAAAAAACAAAAATGCATGTCTCTTTTTGCGCTTTATGAAACAAAGTACCCTCTATTTTGTGGATGTACAGCTACATTTCTCATGTAAGTTTGCGTAGTTTTTTTATTTTTCATATTGCACCAGTACAGTTAATGAGCAACCTGTACTTGTGTGCTTGTTTGTTCTGTCTAAAATGTTTATTTTGGAATAAAGAGGTTAATATAAAAAATATTTTTTGTCCGATTCATCGATTAATCGAAAAAATAATCGTCCGATTCATCGATTTTTAAAATAATCGTTAGTTGCAGCCCTACTCCTGAGTGGGAACTGCACGGTGCTCCGTTCACATGTTCTGTTGCTGTTGTTCAATAAAAGTATGTTTTAAGATAACTTGAGGCAAGAACATTATACTTTTAAGCATCACTATATGACCCATTTAATGCGTAATTTAAATAAAAAAAATTCTGAAGCTGAGAGGACCGCGGCAACCAGCGGACCTCGGAGGCCAACGGCAGCCAGGTATAATCCTAAACCCGTCTGCAGCACAGCGCTCTCAGCATAGCCGTGTCTGAAGCACCGCTTGCTTTGATGGTGATTTCTCTGTTTTATTTGGCTAAATGTTCATTAGACTGTTTTAATTATTATTCCCCCATCAATTGAAAAAAGTAAGAAGTTATTATTATCTAGAGACTAAAATTAAACAGAATAACTGAAAATTCCTTGTAAGGCGCTAATCTGGTACAGCGGTTCTCTAGGGATCAACAAGGTTTCACCTAAAGATGTTTTTAGAACAGATCGGTGACCTTTATTTTATATCTTCAGATAGTAATAGCAACTAGCGTTATAAGTTTCTTAAGTCTACTTTTCTACCTCTAAGTTTGGATATATGAAAGTTGCTCATTATAACAAATAAGAAAGAGTAAAAGTAAAATTGAATGAGACACGATCTGCGTGATCTGAGAATGATGGAGGAAGAGATGACCACCAGTTTAATGTTCATTTATCATGTTTTTATTTGTAGCTCCAAATACTGTAGTAATTATCCTTTGTAGTATTTACGGTAATCAGGTGAGATAATAATAACAATAATAATGATAATCACGATCATAACGATATTAATAATTATGATGAGATGTATGTGTTTGGAAAGGATTTTGATTGTATTATGTCTCTGTTTTAAATTAGAGTAAGACTGATAGAAGAGGAGAGGAAGAACATTAGAAGACTGATGAATGAGAGTGGAGGAAAATAGGAAAACCGATGGAAAGAATAGTTAAAGCGAAGGAAGAAAAATCTTATTAGAAGAATAAAACAGGGCAAAGAAAAAGAAGATGGAGCAGGAATAAGAGAGAGAAGACTGAGTGACCAGATTGGACCAATAAACACTATAGATTGATTCATTAACAGGAATAGGAGAGTCACATTCCTGGATTTCACACTTGATTTTTGTTGTTTAAATATTAATAAATATGTAGAAATGGATGAAAGCATCACTGTCCCCATTTATTTATTTATTTATCAACAAGAGGGAAATGTCCCTGGATTGGATTTCAGAAATCTGGTCACCTTAATATACGGTCAACACACTTACACATTATTTTCTGAGATAAGAAAAATATTTTCCTGAATATTTCATTTTATTTTATTCAAAATGCACTTTGAAGCCAAAGCCCCTGGTACCTGGATGTGAATCACTCACCCCTCTTTTTCCAGAATGACTTTCCGCTCATAGTCCTTCAGATACATGGGCTTCACTCTGGCTTGTTTGGATGTGGAGCGAGTTTCCTCATCTTGGGATGCATCTAAAAGCAGAGGTCAAATGAGCCCACAGTGTAGAAGATCACAGAGCCTGCTGGTCACTCTCAATCACCTTCTGAGTAAAACTTGGCATCTTTCTCATAGATCTTCGGGTCTCTCTTCTTCAGCAGGGACAGGGTTCGGTAAAAGTCCCTCTCCACAGTAGGGTCCAACTCCTGTGGGAAAACAGTTAACAGTGAGGCATCTGGAAAAGGACACGTTAAACGATGGCGTTTAGCTACAGATGCTAACCACTTCACTGTCATCAGAGCTCGATTCAGATGAATTAGAGTCGCTGTCATCGCCTCGGTCTCCGAAACGGTCCTTTACTGTATAAAAACACACATAAATTATCAAGAAAAAATCCTAGAAAAAAAAAAATTAAACTCTATCCTACTATACTTTGACCCACGTTGGATGGTTAGCCTCCTAGTTAGCTATCAGCACAACACTTACGTTTCTGCAGCTCCTCTTTCTGTCGGTATTTATCATATTTCTGTGCAAACTTGGGGTTAATTTTAAATTCCGACCCGCCCGGCATGTTTTAATGAAAATGTGTTGCAGACATTAAGGAAGAAAAGCCGTTACTGCTGGGAAAACAAGCACGTTACTAGTAGAACCACGCTGCTTCCGGTGAGGATAACGGAACCTCCGGCAGAGGGCGCAGTCACACCAGTTTAGCTTCATTCGAGGAAGACGTTGGCCATATTGTGAGTGGCAAGTTCGACTCTAAAGCCTAAACGAATGTCAATTTAAGTGCTAGCCTACTTAAAGAAAACTTATTTCTCATGATTTAAGCCACAGAAAAATATAAAATCACCAAAATAAATACCAAACACAAGATAGTCGAAACCTTAAAGGTACACTTTTAAAAACAGAAAACAAATCAAGCCAATTTAAATTCAATTTTAGCTACATTCCAAAAAAGTAAAAAAAAAACAATATATATATATATATCCACTGGACTTTGTATCCAAGTTTTTGCTGTTTCAATTAAAAATATTAGCGACATTCTATCTATCTATCTATCTATCTATCTATCTATCTATCTATCTATCTATCTATCTATCTATCTATCTATCTATCTATCTATCTATCTATCTATCTATCTATCTTGTGAATTGTGATACATTTATAGAATTTAATACAAATATATATTATCCTAAATGGATAAATGATTGCATATTTTTTAAGCAATCGGTAATAATTCAACATTTATCTTTACTTTACTGCCATCATAAATTTCTATTATCTCTAGCTTTACAAATCAAACTTTACTTGCAACCAAATAAAGTTTCTTAAAAATTATTAAAAAAAAGTTGCATGACCAAATATTTGAGTTTATGAATTCCATGGGTGGGGACCCATATCCTAATCCTGCTTCCATCAGATCCTGAGGTGATGTGCAGACCATCTGTGTGGCATCATATGATGCACTAAGCTAAGGAAATGACCCCAGCTGTGGAAAGTTTGATTCCCAACCATATTTTCTCCCTGGTGAAATCTTTGTTGGGTCCACCTCTGTTTGCCTCCCAGTCTTTAGGCTAAATGCGGCCATTTAATATTTGCTGCACCAAGTTATAAATAAAAAAAAATAAAAAATAAAAACTTTTAATCTGGGAAACAAAGTGCATATACCTATTTACTGAATATGGCTGTTTGTGTAAAAATGTTAGATTTCTTTACTATATCAGAGTAGCTAGAGGGGTACTTTCAGATATAAGTGACTTTTTTATGTGACCGTGAAAGTTAAAATGCAACAGGAAATAAAAAGTTAAAAGGGGGTGAGCAAATCAATTGTTCTGTTTGGTGAAACTTTTCACTAATCAATGTTAACACCAACTCAGCAGATTTTGGATTTCAGTTGGAGGTGGTTTCTCTCCTACAAAACACAGCGTGAGCAAGGGTCAGTGAATCTCCAGGAACTGGTTAATCCAGCTGACTGCTTTTTGTTTACCATAGGGGATCAGGTGAGCAGTGATGTCACATCCTCTCTGGTGGGGAGACCACAATTAACAAATAGCCAGAGTGATAAATAGTGACAAAGCATCACACCCCTTAAAGTAGCTTATATGTTGCTAAGTTACTGACACAGAATGGTGTGTTTAATCAGGATTTTATGTAATAGACCAATGAAAAGTAGAGGATTTTGAAAAAAGTTACATGTTTTAAAAACGTTCCACATATAAAGAATGATGTTTAGCATATTCTACAAGGATCCCTTGAAACAAATTAACAGCAACCAAATAAAACCAATTACCTTAAGCTGTTACCATGGTAACGGCAACATAATGGTGCAGTAATTCTGTCCTTCATCCGAATCAACTTGAGGGAGCGAAAACATATTTTTACATCAGTCTTCAGTTTCCTCTATCTTCACAGGCCCTTTGATCTATCATATTAAATCTCAATAAAATATTGTAAAGTTTAAAGTGGCAATAAAAAACTAAATTATACAAAGCACCAAAAAAACACTTGAGTAAACACTAAGGGGATGATGAACATAAACATTCTGAGTTTATATGTTTAATTCTGTGTGTTTAAGATGTGTCACTGCTTCTTTTTGCTGTGTTGATAGCCTTGATCTTTGCCCTTGATATTTGCAAAGTTAGTGGGTTTGACAACATGTGGGCTGATTCACAGACATGCTAGTTTTGGACATTCACCAAAAAAACGACCTCAAAAATGTGTTTTGATATATCGACAAGGACAATTTCAAAATGCAGAGCTCATCTGACAGCTGTTTTATTATTTTAAATAACTAGAAAATAACCAATACTCTGCTAGCACATTCTGTGACCTAAATAAAAGAATGAATGTTCAGCTGTTTGTGTTTGCACTAAATAAAAATTATAATAAAACAACCACAGGCTCATTGTTGTTACTTTTCTCATACTTTACAGCCACAAAGAAAAAAACAAAAATATAAAATAAAAATTCAACCAAACTGTGGTCTTGTTTTTTTGCTGTGAACTGAGGCTCTTCTAGGAAAGTGCCGGCCTTCTTCGAAAGAGTTACAGCTGCTCTAAAAAAAATTAAAGCAGCCTCACATTTCAAGCTCTCACAGCATACAGAAACTATATGGCTTGGATAAGCACAGAGAAGGCAGAGATGAATGGATCTGCTAGATGTGCACAGGGAAAAGATTTTCCCTGTGCACCCACAGTGTTGCATAACTCACGAACTTTCTCCCGTTTTCTCATGTTTCAACCAAAAGATCTAAAGCATTTTGCTGGGGTTTTATGACACAGACCAACTTAAAGGAGCAAGCTGTCATAATATTAAAGAAAAGTGATTAATGATTTTCTATATTTATCTCAAATAAACGTTTGGGAAGTGTGGCCTGCATTTACTTTGAGGACCAGGCCCCGTTACTGTGGTAACACCAGATAAATGTTAATATAAAAAAAAATCCTCTAGAAAACCACTTAGTGACCAGGGAACCTGGCAAATATGCAACATTATTATTATATGAAACTCCTAATCTGCCAAATAGAGCTGAGCAAAGGGAGTAGGATGCAGCTAATATGCTTATTTCTTTGGAGCAACAGCAGAGATGGAAAGCTATGATGGGAAAATCTGCTCACTGGAATAGCAAGCCACAAACCACTATGAAAACATAACTGAATCTCCTGACGTGAACAGTATCACATGGACAAAGGCTCTCATCAAATGAGACCAAAAGTGAACTTTTAGCCGTGCATTTAAAACACCTGTTGTAGTGGGAGAGTGTTAGTCCACAGCTTACCTACTGCTCATATTTGTGCAATGAAGCACTGAGGAGGAAGCATTATATTCTAGGGGTGCTTTTGTTCAGCAAAATCATAAAGCATTTCAGAAATATGAGTGGGGTTTTCTGGGATGGTAACCTATGAACTGCAAAACATTTGGGGCTTGGGCAGAGGTTAATCTTTAAGGAGACTTCTCCAGAAGTTTCGGGTTGTTTTGAGCTCACCAGTTGCCCAGCGGATCCACTTCCTGTTTATATCCAGATATTCCACCTTCCCCGATCACATATATGTGTATATATATATATATATATATATGTGTGTGTGTATATATACACATATATATATACACATATATATATATATATATATATACACATATACATATATACACATACATATATATACATACATATATATTTATATATATACATATATCAAACATGGGCAATGTGGAGTCAACAAGTCTTCTTCTTCTTCTTCTTCTTATGAGATTTTATGGCGGTTGGCAAACTTGTGAAATGTGCATTACCGCCACCAACTGATACGGAGTAAAGCAAGAAAACAGGAAACGATTCACCCCAAATAAAAATAAAAAATATATATATATAAAAATAAAAAAAAAACCTGTGTAACTTAAACCAACATAATACTAAATCACATTTGCCCATATAATTTTTATAAACTCTAGGTCATCGTAACTCTGCCAGTTTCTGATGGTCCCATCGGTCCTCCCATCATGCTTCCAACCATCTCCCAGTTCAAATCTTTTACGTCCAGATATTTTTCTGCAGCCTTCACTATTATTTTGATTTTTTTCGTTGTCTGTGCAGTACAATTAATCACTTCCACCATGAAAAGAACAAAATTTGTCTTTTTAACAATTAGTGAGTCTTCATCAATTTTTGGAGATTTCTCTAGAGGTCTGAAATTTGCCGTGTGTTGAACTGTAGGTTTGGGTTTTTCTGACTGAGATGGGATCCTTTTTGCAGCTTCAGCATAGGTTATTCCGAGCTCAAGTTTCATTTTTTTTATTTCCTCAGACCTTTTGCTTGCTTCACAGCCGCGATAAGCAGCAGTATGTTCTCCACCACAATTACAGCATTTTATTTTAGCTTCTTTTCCACATTTACCATATTCGTGTTCTCCGGCACACCTTCCACATCTCTGTTTCCCTTTACAAACTGCTGCAATGTGACCGAATTTTTGGCATTTGAAACATCTCAATGGTGGAGGATTGTAGATTTTGACATTATAGCTGATGTAACCGATGAATACTTTGCTTGGTAATTGCTCTTCTTCGAATTTAATTAACACTGATAAACTGTCAGATCTTTCTCCGTTTCTTGTTTTTAACCGTTTTACTTCTTTTACTTTTGCACCGCTTATGTTTTCCAGAATCTCTTTTTCAGAAATTTTTAGAGGAACTCCTCCAATGACTCCCCTGCTGATCTTTTTGTTCTCCATTAGGCTGCACTGAACTCTTATCCCGTCAATTTTGTTGATTCGTATTGCTTTGCCTTGCTGTGCGCTGTCTCTGCAGTTAATTAGCAGGTCTCCACTGTACAGAATTCTGGCACCTCTGACTTCTCCAACAAGTTTATTGATGGTTTTTGTTAAGTGAACCGGATTCCAATTTGTAAAAGAGTCTGCCTGATTAACGACTTTGAATATGACTTTGAATTCATTTTGTTGTGCTGTGGAATGTATGGATTGATCATCACTGGATTGTTCTGAACTAGATTCCCCTTTAACTGATCTGTTTTTTCCGCTTTTTCTCATTTTTTGATGTTGCTATCTTCCAACTTTCATTGTCACTATTTCCCTCTTAAATCCCACAAGAATCGCTTCCTGTTTCCTCACTACTCACGGCCCAGGACATCTCTCCACAAGCAGCTTCAAAACACGGCCATG